CCTCAAGCAATAGTTATTCGTACTTTGTGGCAACAATTTCCAACTCTTGTAAATCATTGAATTGTACATCATAAAACTTTTTCCTCAAAGGCAACCTCAAAACCTTTTGAGCAATGGATATGAGTTGGGCATGATTGATAGGGAATTGGCACCTCATTCTCGTCCTTCTGAACCTCATCATGAAGTCTTTTGTAGACTCATATTCATATTGCTTCACCTCAACTAAATCATTGATAGACATCTCGGGCTCTATCCTATAGAGTTGCTCATGGAAAGCCATCTCCATTTGCCCTCAGTTAGCAATAAAATTGGGGGGCAACATAGAATACCATTGAGATGCTAGGCCAACCAACGAGTTTCCAAACAATCTTAACTTATAATTGGAATTATCTTCGAATGCCACGCAATGATTGGAGAACTTGAAGATCTGATCTTTAGATGATCCACTGCCATCATCTCCACTAAAATTGGGAAACGCGGGCATCTTAAAGTTGAGTGGAAAATGATTTTGCTCATCAATATACTCCAAGTATGGCTTTTGGTAGGTGATCCTGAATAGCGAGCGAGTTTGGGGTTGAGCATTCTGGGCCACCATCCTTCTTAACTTAGCTAACTCATCTCTGAGCTGCTGGTCAGTTGTATTGTTGTATGTGGTATATGGGGTTCCCCATTTCGGGTTGCGATCATTGCCTGAGAAGGTTTCCTTCCTTGTGTCGGGCTGTCTCCACTTGGCATCCCCTCCCTTACTGGCCAATGGTAGAGGCTTATAAGGAGAAGGTTTGTCTACCTTGGTAGGCTCTCATTTTCCACTGGATTCTCCAATTAACTGGGGCATCCCATACTTCTTTCTTTCTTGCCCGCTCTGCCCCTTACTATCTAGGGAAAATAATAAGGGGTCGAGCAACTCTGCTTCTAGGATCTCCTCCAACACTGGCTGGCTGGTTTCTGATCATTCCTTGTTTTTTCCTTTATCCCTCTTTTCCTCAAGCAAATGAAATAGGGGGATAACTAGTTCTTTTTCAGGGCTAGCCTCTCTCATCACTTCCCTAGCATAACCATTTTTTGGAGTAGAGTACTCCAGATCTAATCTTCTTTGCAGACTCCCTGTTAAGGAATAGAGTTTGCTTACTTTTCCTCTAGTTTCTAGAGTGATATTCTCCATACTTTTCAGAACTTGTACCATGGTGGCTTGCAAATCTTCATTGGTTACCTTCCCTCCAAACTTCTCAAATGAAGTTGGGCTTTCTAGAATAGCTGGCCCTTGCAGGGAAGGAAAATCCTCTGGATAATTTGTCATGCTTGATCTTGGTAGACACTGGGGTGGCCCGTATTTTGTGTTCCACCTGAAGGTTTTCTCATTCCTTCTTTTTCTTGACATACAAAACTATGAATATACCACCGGGTGTGCCAAAACTATGTTCGATGCGAAGATTTCTTTAGAGAATGATCCTCGGACCTCAGCACAGCTCCCCAAGGGATTGGCACTTTGGATGTGTAGTCGGGCTCTTACTTGTTGATGTGCTACAAGAAGATGACAAAGTTAGTTTTGAAAGGTGCCTTTGTGGGGCCTTAGGTGTAAGCCTTGAGGCTCGCAATCAAAACTAACTAAGTGCTAGGCGTGCCATTACTATCTCAGTATAACAGAGGTAGAACAAGAGTGTTTTAAATCGATTACTTGCGCCCCAAGTTACTCGGACTTCTTGTTATCAAAGGATTGTCGTGGATGGGTTAAGTCCACATTAAGTTCTTTTTCTTGCCTTGTAAACAAGGACTTTTAGTTCATAGTCTTGTATGTTTGAATGAAAGGAGTCGAGATACCCTTAAGTAATTTGTTTGGTCCTAGATTGCTTTTAATGATAACATATCCATTAAACTAGCCGGATCCAGATACAAATGACTCTTAAAGTAGGAGAACAGGTGGAAATAACTTGAATACATACTGAAGAATGCATTAAGTAGTAGATCTACAAATTTAGAAAACAAACAAAGAGCGTCAGGCAAGATTTCACCATGTCTGTTAAGGTTAAACCTCTTGCAATCACTTCTCTTTGAATTAATAGGGGTTTATATGCTAAAAAGAGATGGATGGTAAACAAGTTTACATATGGGAATCAACACTACGCCACTAAGGGAGATAACAGAGCTTTAAACTAGACAAGAGATAGCTTGTCGCTAAAAAGGATTGAATCTGGGTTGATTTCAGCTTTTGGATGCAAATTTGGCTTGAGCGCAGGTTTGTATGTTTGTTTATTTGATTGGTTGAGTGTCCTTATCTCTGAGGCCTCTTCCTCCTTTTATAGGCAAATTAGCCCATCTGTTGTAACTTTGTTCTTGCCTGAAAGCACTTGGAGGGTAGTGAGTCATCAGCTTTTTACTTGGAAAGCTACTAGAAAGTGTTCTTTGGTTGGTAGTAGGTTAGTCTCCATCGCTTATCACTTCAATAGTAAGCACATGGCTTTGCATTTTGGCTGAGAAGGCTTCAATTTGCCTCTGGGCTTGGTGTTGGGCTTTGGGCAAATCCCTTTTTAGTTGGCATCCTTGGGTTTTCCTTCATCTAAGTCCAATGTTTAAATATTAACCCAAACAATAATAAGAAGGGCAACTCTTGAGGCATTTTATCAAGCAGTTGAATGACATTTACGAGGGGCAACTCCAACCTCCAAAGAGGCATCACCCATGTCATCCTTGGATATTCACCGAAGTCCGGAAGGTCAGCTGAACCTTCTTGCCCCTTAATTGATTCGCCAGTGTGCGTTAATAAAAGGAATACTTGTTTCCGATCTGATCTATCAAAAAAAACAGAGTTTTTCTTATGCTTGTTTCCAATCTGATCCATCCAAAAATCAGCCCTATTAATAACCAACGTTTAATCAATCAATCAACTATTCCCACATGTTGGCTAAGATTATTCAATAACTACCTTTTTTAACACCCACATGGTGATCAGGTTTGAAGAGAACAGAATTAAGCACATTCCACATGAGTCTGCATAATGTGTATGTTTATATTGGTAAAACCTTTGCATTTCTTTACAGAAATATTTCTACAGATGAGAGAACTTAATTTATTACCAAAAGAAAAATGTAACAAGTTTGAGTACAACCTCCAAAAGTTGTTTCCAAATCCTAACCCTAAAAATAAAATTAAAACGAAAAATTACAAAATTGTCATATGTTCAGTAGAATCTAGAAAAACATATTTGACGTATAGCAAAAGACATTAGAATGCGCAAACTACTCTTATGCCACGGCGAAATGAGTGGGTTTACCATGGGCTCAAATTATAGGTTCCAAAGCCTCTCAAAAGTTGTTTTATTTGTTTGTTTTACGCTTGTCAAGCTGCTGCATAATTTAATTTGTTGATTGCAGCAAATAGACCAGAGTGTGTGTTGGTGTTCTGCAAGTTGGAGTCAGGTGCCTCAACATTCATTACAAGCCATTCAAGCTGTTTTAAATGAACGAGAATGATTTATCCAAGCAAGTTCCTGCACATAGAAGGTGAATCTGATTTTTCTATGTTCTTTTCCTTCTCCACTCTGTGTGTGTGTGTGTATGAAAATTGAATCACTTTACTTTGCTTTATCCTTGAAAGTGATCCCACTAACTTTTTCTTGATGATTTAGGTCCTTCACAATAATAATATTGACTCATAACAAATGCCAATCTTTAAGTAAGATGTGAATCCGATACCTTAAGCTGCATGCACTAGCTAGACACCGAGAATATAAGTATTGCAGAGAAAATTGAGAGATGCGATGCCCATTAGGCAATTGGGCCGGATTCCATCCATGTTACCCTACCTCATTCTTAATTGAAGAAGTATAAATAGAGATTAGTACTGAAGGTATTCACCCCGGGGCGAAAACACCTTTGAGGGAAAGCTTTGGTGCAAAAAAAATAGTGCTCTTTTGTGACCGAAAAGTCACAAGATCGAATCATAAAAACCACCCTTTTAAAAAGCAAAGGTAAAATTGTGACGATAAAAATTCTCTGAACTCTCACAAAGTAAGGAACCTTGCTAGCTTTAGACGGCTCTTAGTGTTGAAGATATTCATCTTAAATGAATTACCTAAAACCATTAAAGTTAAAATTTAAAGAAGTCAATCGTTAATTAATGTTTAATAATGCTTCTAGAAAGTGTTTCGGACTACGTTACGTTTGGCTTCTGATTCATATATATAAAAATATTTGTAAAGAAAAGAGTTTGTAAGGAAGCAATTGACAGGTAGTAACACTCCCAAATCTTTTTGGGGAGCACTGAAATATTTTAATATAAAATATTTTGTAGTAAAAATCACTTGTAATATTTTCTACGGAAGCAATCCAAAAAGAATACAAACCTTTACTTTGGCTTATATAAATATTAAACTAGTATATGACCACAAACTTGTGTGTGTGAAATTTTCTATTTCTGTTTTTAAAATTGAAGGAGAGAGGAAGAATGTGAGAGTGGGAAGAGGAGGAGGTTTATTTTTAATTTTTTTTATTTGTTATTATTATTTATGTTTATTTATTTTTTCAAAAAATAAATCATTTTTTAATTTTTAAAATTAAAGATGTTAAAAACACCAGTAAGTGAGGCTTAAACAAAAAAATAGAAAATTTTGTTTTGTGAAATTACATTAATACCCTTACATTTTTTTGTTGTAATAGAATACTAAACAGTTTTTTCATCCTCTTTTAATTGAGGAAGAGGATTCTATTAATATGTAGTTTTATATACACACACATACATTTTTTTTTTCAAAATGAAAAGTTATTATATATATACATAAAATGATGGTAAAGACAAGCGGTTATAGCTAATCACCTGCATGGATAGCCAAGCGTCCAAACGTCATCATGTTTATACCATGTGGCAATGCTAGAACATGAACACCAATAAACCATGCATTCAAACACCAAAACCAGAGCAACAAATATGTACATAAAGTACAGATATGGAGCTAGTTTTGAGTGCGAAAGGAGAAGGAGAAGGAGAAGAAGAAGAAGAAACAACCCTAGCATATTATATCCTTGTTCATTTATAAGCTCAAATGGTTACAATTAACTTCCTTAAGTTGATCCACCATCGATGACTAGTATTACAGATTAAATGAATAAGGAAAAACTAGACAAAATTAACCAAAGAAAAACTGCACAAAATACTGAAGGAAAAAAGTCGGCAGACCTAATTGAAATCTAATTTTTATTATGATGCTCATATATCAACCTTACATGCAGGATTACCAAGCAAGGGAACTTGACCTACAAAACCTCTCTTCAATCCAACCAAAACATCACATTTCACATAAATCCCGTAGTGCCCCGTCCTTATTGCGCCGGCCTTCCACCTGAGCCTCCCCGTCACCACCACCCTTAGCCCCACCACCCCGTACACCTGGTCCATCATCAGCCCATTCACCACCTCCACCGCCACCGGCACATCCCCACCACCCAGAACCGGCGACACAGCCACCGTGCTTCGATGCTCGTGCACCAGCGGTGGCAGTGCCACCTGCGGTGTGATCGCCTGGTTCTTATAGGCGACGAAGGCAGAGAGGCGGTCGTAGTAGATGGAGACGCGGCGGTTGGGGTTTCTGGTGACGAGGGTGAACTGCATGGCGGTGGAGATCAAGGGAGGGGAGGTGACGTTGAGGCTGTAGACGGCAGCACCGACGATGGTGAACTGGGGTTTGTGGGGGCGGTAGACGAGCCAGAGGGTGAGGGCCGTGACGCCAACGAGGAGGAGGAAGATGGAGAGGCAGGTGCACAAGGCTCTGTAGGGGCCGCTGGGTTTGTCCTTGGTCATTTTAGGGAGGTGGTGGCCGGGGGTTTCTTCCTTAGTGTATTCTTTTGACATGGGTGTGTGAGATTTTGATTGATTTATAGAAAGAGATAAAGACCAAGAATAGTTCTCTGTAAAGCAAACAATACTCTCCCTTTCTTTCCCCTTCACTTTTTGTGTTCCAATTGTCCCACAGATTCTTCTTCTTCCTTAGCTTTTTATATCTCCCCCACTTGCCACGTCCACCTCTCCTTTACCTTCTTAACATTAATCTCTCTCTCTCTCTCTCTCTCTCTCTCTCTCTCTCTCTCTCTATATATATATATAAACTCTTACAACTTTTATTTCTTAGATAAAACCCATCTAATTCTAAATATCTAAATAAAACCCAAATTTAAAAAAAATACTGCCAAGTAAAAAAGTAATTAACCTATTATTACAAAATATTTACAGCCTATACCACAATAATCAAATCAAATCAAATCAATAAATGTTATTGCTTACCTTAATTATAATGAACAAATAATTATTGCACATACTATTACTCCTAACATATATATACATATACACACACACATATACACACATTCAAAAGTATACAGTACTACTATAAGTTCAATATATATGTCCACAATACTAACATATATGTTAAAGTAATTAATTTACCTATATGTAAATTTATGATTAGCAAATAATATATATTTTGTTGGTAAATTAATAATGAATCAAACAACATTCTTTTATTTTGTAGGTAACTTATTTTTTATATATATTATTACATATATTTGACACATTTTATTACTGTAAGATATATGTACAAATAATAGGTAAATTAGCTTCAAATCAAATAACATTGCTTTATTTTGTAAGTAAATTAATTTTGAATCAAATAGCATTCTTTTGTTATGTACATATTTTACTTTGTATGTGATGTGGTAGAAACTAACACACAAATTAAACCCTATAAATTATGCAATCGTAGTACATGTAAGTAGGGATCGTTCAATTCTGGGGATTAGAAGGGATGCTAATCAACACAAATTAAACTTATAAAACTAAAACTAAGTTAAACTAACAACAAAACAATGACTGGGGGGATTTTGTAACCCGTCCCTGATTTTATAATTTTATTAATTTTAAAAGTGTGAAATTGACGAAAATGCCCTAGAATCGAGATTGTTGACTTTAGTTTACCATCTTTTAGTAACACATACGAGCTATTATTTTATCGTATTCTCAAAGTACTTGACGATATGAACGCGTAGGTGCAAGCGGAATCAAAATTGGAGTTACAGTTAAAATTTTATGAAACATCGAATACTGAGGACAAATTGATAAATTTCATATTTGGGAGATATTTTTGTGACTTGTTTTAGGGAGCCATGTGGATGATTGTGATGAGTGAGAGAGACGGATGAGAGGAGAAAGAAATGGGAGATGGCCGAAGGGATTGCCCAATTAGAGGAGAGAAAATGAGGGTGGATAGACCAACCAGAAGAAAGAGGTGAGGAGATGGACCAATTAGGAGGAGATAAGGGAGAAACAATATGGAAATGAGAGAATGAGGGGATCCGGACCCCTCTCAACCTGGTTGGCCTTGGACCCGCGAGTCGACCCAGTTCTAGGAAGAAAATCAGACGGTTTTTCCGTCCAATTTCCGGCTTTCTTCAACCTCCCATCATCATCAAACATCATCACAACCTCCCTAGCACCTAATTCTAGCTAAACCCGACGAGTTTTAGCTCGATGTTGCTAGAAACCCATTAACGGGTACAGGTGGTTCTCGGCTCTGAACCATCATTTGTGAAGTGAATTCTTTCGATCTCCATCACCATTATACTTCCCTTGAGGCCTAGAACAAAGCCCAAACAACTATAGAGGCGGCAGAGCACCGGAGGTGATGGTCGAAGCCATCCATTTCTAGGGTTTCCGACGAGTTCGAGACAAATTTTTCCTATACGGTATGTCTACATAAAAAATAATACAAAGTACAGTGGGGTGGACATGTACCCAAGGATGACTGGAATGCCTTCCAGCACAAGAGGTGAATATGGAATCACAGTTAGAATAAACGCTAGTCTAAACGCCACAAAAATTTGATAATTTCAAGAATGAGTAATTTTCTCAAGTGATCTAAAATGTAGTCCCTCTGGACCAACAAAAAGTAACCTAACTTGTCAAATCGGTTGATAATCACCAAAACATCATCATAATATCCACATGTACAAGATACCTCATGCCGAGAGCTTATGGTGATAGTTTCCCATCTTCGATCGAATAAAGGAAGTGATTATAACCATTCGAATGATTTCTTGGTGGTTTGTAGGTAATGCCATGTCAATACTCGTGAATTCCACTTGAAATGAGATAAGACAAGTTGAAGGTGTGCAAAGGTATACACGTCTTTTGATGTGGTAAATAATAATTACATTTGCACAACCGGAGGAATGCACGGTAGTGCAATCGTAGACGTTGATTTGGTTCATCTAATGTCATTGTCAGAAATCTAATTCTTTTCAACAGAATATGTACTTGAGAGGTCTAAGATTGATGAAGTGTCATCCAGTTTTCAAGTAAAGGTGGTAACTGTTCTACATGTTGAGAAATATAAGCGATACTCTGCCATGCTGCCTCTACACGACCGAAACAACCAAGAAAAAAGTCACCGTGGATTTCAAAATAATCCATGTCATCGAAGGGTGTAAAACAGAGGTAAAGCGAGACAGCAGTTCGGTTGTCAAAAACTTTACTCATAATCAACATCCCAAACCAAACTAATTTTCCTCTGTCGACTTGGATAGAAAAACATTATAACTGAAAAGTCGTTAACGGACTGCTGATAAAATCGATAAGGTTAAAACATCTCGCATTTCACAACACTTGTGAGAATTTCAACTTTCTTTCGCTACAACCTTTTGGGAAAAAGAAAAGAATCTCATCCGCAGAGATCACGTCTCCCAAGAAAAGTACCAATTTAATCAAAGTTTACAATCGAGGAATTTGGTATAAAGCTAACTAACAGTACTTAGAGAATTTGGTCTCACTGCCGAAGTAGATGAGAAAATTGTCAAAAAGACTACTATGAATTCGTCAGGCTATGGAAGAAAACTAGGGCTCAAAATGTTTATCGGAAAGACCAACAATTCAAAATATGGATTAATGATTTTAATCGTCACCCGATTAAGTTGCTAAAATATAGGTGCGATCCTAAGATTCAGTCTTTCGCCTTCGCGGATAAGTTTGAGTTTCCCAAGATAAAGTGTTTAGTCCCTTGTTGGGTAAATTCCTAAGTGGTAAACTTTAGTAACTAAGTTCTCTCAATGAAGTAAGACTTGTTCGAAAAGTCGCAAGGAAAACTGATGTAGTACAAGAAAGTAGATTGATGGTGTACTTCACTTCACCATTTGGTGATATCCAAGGTAAGATTTGAGAATTGACACCAACGTATACGTACTCAGAACGTACAATACTACTTCCTTTCACTACGCCACATGCTGATAGATCTTCATAGCTTTCTCAATATTCAATTCATTCTTACAGCGGAAACTAATTCGTACTTCAACTAAAATTTACTTGTGGAAGTAATCAGAAAGATGGCTGACCGAAGTGGTTTTGGTTACCTAAGTGGGATATGGTTAAAAACAACTACAAGTTTACAGTCCTCCTACAAGGCTTGTTCCTAAGTTTATGGTCCTCCTAAAATGGGTGCCCCGATTTCATATTAACATCCAATTGACGAAATTTCGTTGTTTTGTTATATTTTCGTTAAGGGCCATCACTTGGTTATTATATGTGTTGATGCACAAAATCCAGAGGATCTTGGACCAACGTAAATTCGACCGTGAATCACACAAACGCACAATAACACAAAGATGTATCGTGGTTCACCCCAATGCTTGGGCTACGTCCACACTAATGTTGATTCCATTTCACTGTATGAATGTATGGATTACCATAGATCGGCAAATGAGCTTTCTGTGGATGCAGCCCTTGCCATTTTGTTCTCTATTTGGCTGAAAGGGTATTGCCCTCTATTGTTGTGAAGGTTGAGTGTGAGACTCTGTCTTGTCTCTAGTAAAGGTGAGGCTGAATGTGAGTCCCCTCTTAGTGAAGGTGAGACCCCCTTTTATAGAATAAGGGTTTCCTCCCTTCTTACATAAATCAAGGGCTTAGGGACGAGGCCCAATATATGGTACCAACAGGAGTCCCCCACGTCTTCAGTCAAGAGAGTCTTTTGGCTGGAGACTTCAAATCCAATCCATGTACAGGCTGAAGTGGCTAGATGTCTTGAACTAGTACTCAACACAAGGCAATGCTCAATATAAAGCAATACTCGGCTAGAGGTATCACACGTTGCGAGACTGCTCGGCTGGAGGTGATGCTCATTGCGAAGCTGCTCGGCTAGAGGCTATACTCGCGGCGAGGCGGTTGCTCGGCTGGAGGCGATGCTCGTTGCGAGGCTGCTCGGCTAGAAGCGATGCTCGCTGTGAGGCGGCTCGGCTCGTGGTGTTCCTCATTGCAAGTATGTACTTTATGTCAGCATGCACTCAGTATGAGTTGACTCTCGACATGATTCGGGTCCGCTTGTCGAGTTCGCATATTGGGTTCTTTTAATCAACAACAATGTTGATCAGTGGATCTAGTTGCTTAATAATTCCTGACAATAAATGACAGTATAAGTATGACTGTATAATGAATAAATCAAATTGACAAAGTTTGTCAAGGCAAAATATTGTACTATGTGCCTTCTATAAATAAATAATTTATTCAGTCGTGTGGTAAATCACATGTTGTATAAGTGACATAGTTTACTGGCAGTCACAATACTCTAGGCCAATAAATATTGTATAATAAAGTTTTACCCTACCACTTTAAATAATGAAGTCAGGAATGATTAAAGATGCAATAATAAAATATTAATTACTAAAATAATTGTAAGGAAGATTGCAGACAAGCGTTTGTAAAGCATATGCACATTGTAAAGCAAATCAAACTGGGAACGCACTATATAGATGTGATAGAAATGATGTGGCCTCATGTTAAAAAATAAATACACAGATGTAAAGCAAAAGGATCTTATCAAAATAATAATAAAGTAATAAATAATAATAAAAAAAAAGAATCTTATCTCGCTATTCTCGTGGCTTTTTCAGAAAAGCCTTTTCATGATGAAAGTT